GTCTGCAAATTGGATTCAGTTAAGAAAATTCCTTCCTAACAGAAAGGAGCAAATGAAGCATGGTACACGTTGCTGACCTGGTGTTTCTCCGAGCAGTAGTGTACTCTTCGGCAACCACCACAGACTTTATCTCCTTTCCACGTACCACACCAGCCACAGAGAACAGCTGAGAAATGAAAGAAGATGTATTACAAAAAATACAGGACATTTATGTGTAAATATTTTTGGGTGATCAATTAATATGGAGTTGGAAGAAAAGGAAAGGCCAACGACTTTGATAGATAATCGCAAATACTTAATCAAATCAATTGTCAACTCGAGTCATTGACCAATGAAAAAAGTAGATCCTTCCAAGGAATTACCTCCAGGACTAGAGGGTTTATCTTTCCCATTGTTTCTTGGGGGTTCACTGGAGTAAAAAGAGTTATCACGGGGCAATTGGCAACAAAAGACCTTGACACTTGAAAAACACATTCAGTAATCAGAGTTAGATGAAAGGATACATAAGCATGGTAATTTATAGTCACACAACGAAATTCAATTGTGAAGAAGTACCTCCTGGATTGCTTGTCTTGGTTCCTTTTCCACTGCTCATGTTGATCTTTAAGGAGACAGGTCATTGATGTACACATGAAGAGAAATAAGGTGCGGTGAAAAGTCGAATCCTTCTCCGTGAGTGGTGCGTAAACCTTAACAATAAGTAAAAAACAAAAAGGAAAAATATCAATTCAGTTTCCTCTTTCCACTCTTCTTTTGCCACACCGGGAAAAACAAAAAAGAGGACAAATGGTAGAAAAGGAACCCTGCACACAAGTAGATGTAGAGCCCATATGATGCAGAAATAACTAATACATTATTGAAAAATAGGCAGCAAGTGAACTAATCAAGGTGAAGCGCCTGGACAACTTAAGGAGATGACTTTCTTTGGCAAGACAATAAACAAACTTGAGCATTCCTTGTAAATTGGAAAACAGTGACCAGAGACAAAAGGAATGGGTGTCTGAGAATCAAAAACCTACGAGTCATAACAAATGCCTCTTGATGAAATGGCTTTGGAGATTTAGTATTAAGGAAAATGCACTTTGGAAGAGAACCTTGGTTGGAGAAGTTCACTTTAGAGAACCCACGGTGCACCAAAATCTCTTAAGCACCTCATTGAATAGGATTATGGAAACAACATTCGAGGATATTGGAGTAAATTTGAGACAAATATTGTTCTCTTCCCGGTAATGGAAAGAGAATCAGATTTTGGGAAAATACATGGTAGGGCCACATCTGCTTAAAGACCAATTCTTGGACATATACAGTTTATCCCCCACAACACAATGGAAAGAAAATTACAAAATTTCATTTAGCACAAGGTTGGAATCTCTTTCTGCGAGGAGTTTGAATGATTGGGAAGTAGAAAGTTTAGGCTTTTTGCTTCAGATGCTAAACAGTGTAGTTTTGGATCACAACAAAGTTCACTCCATCAGTTGGAAGAGACACTCCAAAGGACTTTATTCAGTCAAAAGCTGCTACACTATGATGGAATCTAACAAGTAACAACAGGGTTATATGGGCTTGGAAGATTTGGTTCAATAGATTAGAGCTCCTTTGAAGGTCTCTTGCTTTTCTTGGATTGTGATTAGGGAAGCTTGTCTCACTCAAATAAACCTTCAAACAGGGGGACTTCAGCTTTGCAGAAGTGTCCATTGTGTGGAGCAATCGAAGAAGATAGCCCCTTCTTTTTGCATTGCAGGGTCACAAGTCAATTATGGAGCATGTATTATGAAATTTCAGGCATTGGATCATGCATATCTCCATTACAAAGCTGCTGCAGTGCTGGAACAGAAAGGGGGTTGGGGCTTATACAAGGATTCTCAAAAGAGGAGGCGTTGTACTAGTATCCACAGGCCCTAATTTTTCGCACTATTAGCTCAGGCCATTTGGTAGACTCTGGTTGAAAGAAACATCAGATTTTTTAAGGCAATGGGAGAAACATAGATAGACTTAAACTTAGATTGGAGAAATGTATTCAGAAATCGTTAACAATTAAAATCCTAAACCTATCGGAAGAACTAAAGTACCATTTGACCAACTCCAAAAGGATAATAAGAAAAAAGAACCACATCTCCTCTTATGTTGTATATTGTACAGTTCGACTTAGACTTTATGCTGTACAACGTCAAGTTAGATTGGAAACGCTGTCTTCTGTAAATTTGATGGAGACTTTTAGCTTCAGTAAAAGTTAACTGTTTTTATTTGGGTAGCTACTTCAGTGTTTAAGTATGTAATGACATGAATTAATGATATATGTTCCCAGAATTATCAATACTATTCCCTAAACTTAAAAAGAATTACTTTGACTTCGCTTCTAGCTCCATCTTGTATCAGACAATGTTTTCCAATTTGTAGGCTAAAGGATCCCAGACCCCACTTTGTTAGACTACACTGCATATGTTGTTGTTAGATACAGCCTGCAGCTAAAATTGTAACTTCCACAAGAACATAAAGATATACCTGAAGCATGAACTGCAAAGGCTCTCCACAGATATCACAAAGACAGGATCTCCCTGTTGGCAAGTTAATTGGATCCAACCAAGCCTACATTCACAGAAACAAAATTTAGAACTCAATCAACCTTGGAAGCGTCTTTCACCCTAATGAATATGGAAATTAGCGCAAACGAATCAACGAGAGAACTTTTCTAAACATACAGGAGTACCCCCAGCTTTGCTTGGAAATAACTCACGTAGCAGTGACCATGAATTCTCAGGCTTTTCAAGAACCCCTAACCCCACAGGTTCTTTGTCTTCATCCTCCTCCTCCTCGTCATCATCATCATCATATGAATCAACATCTCCACTGTCATCAATTTGAACCTCTTCTTGATCTTCCTCATCAAGAGGTGTAATTTGCAAAGTCCTCTTTGAAGAACCTCTGCTCCTTCCGGCATTAAATTCTTCCTCCATTTTCGCTAAACTATCCACAGTGATGGTTGAAAAAAAAAACAATTACTTCCCAGAAAAATCACACAACCTCATGTTCAGGAGCCAATTAAGAAACTAAAGGAATTTACAACAAGCAAAATACTAAAACTCCACCAAGACTCAATTTTTATGGAGACCCAGTTCATATCAAGATGAAAGAAGTAAAAATAAAGGGTTAAAAAGACCTCATGTTGAAGAACCAACTGGAAAAATAACAACAGGCGAAATAAGAGAACTCCCATTACTTTTCTACAGAGAACCAGTTCATATAAGCATTAAAAAACAACGATTAAGTGGAGGAAAATACCTGAATTAGATGTTTTCTCGTTCCCTTTTAAGCTTTGAATTATATTTAGCTGAGATTAAGCGAGTGTTGAGACCTCAAACAGCAAACAGCAAACAGCAAACAGCAGGAACAGAGCAACCAAGGAGAAGGGTTGAAGGCAGAGAGACATAAACCTCTATTTATATTTGGGCTTAAATAAATATGGGTTATTAGAAATTGGCCCAACTCATGGGAAAAATGCACTTTTGCCCCTTGTATTACATTTTGTTTGGATGATTGTTACGTATTGTTTCATAATGCATCATATTGTATTTTGCTGTATTGCATCTAACTATATTATTTTAATGAATACGATGTTTGGATAGATTGTATCGTTCTCTGTTGTTACATAATGTCATACATCCATAATTTTAAGTGATAAACCTACAAGAAAAATAGGATACGGGGTAGAACTATTATGAAAAGGTATGATAAATGATAAAATATGACTATTAAATAATAAGTAAAGATAAAATGAGAAGAAAATATTAAGGTAACGACAGGATCACACCAAATCGGTCGCTACATAAAATGAGTTTTTTTGTCATTACTAACGATGAATTTAAACGATACGATACAATAGAATTTAAGTAATAGTCAAAACAAACATCATATTTAAACTAACAATACAATAGGTAACAACTATCCAAACAAGGTGTTAGTCGTTAAACCGTTTAGCCGGCATACATTTATATTCACATTATAATTATAATATTCATAAGTTATGCCCCCGGCGCCCTTAAAAATTTATACTTTACTAGGCATAAGTTCAATTTTAAAAGCAAAAATTAAAGACCATCCTATTTAAAGGACAAATTTTGCAATCAAATATTGTTTTTATTAATAGATTTTCCGATACATGTATATCTTTTTTTGTGAAAATCATGCCGTTCTAAAATCATTATACTAAATAGTACTATTGTCTCATGTGATTGGATATAATGGATAAACAAAATTTTCAGAAATTTTGTTCAGTTATTCCTTTTTGGAATATCGATTTATTAAGTAATTTTCTTTTTATTTCTCTGGTTGCTTATAGACCTTTTAAATCATGACTTAAAGATCTCTTTTGAGCAAAGTCTAAATGAGAAAATGTTAAATCACAAACTTAAATTTGTAAGTTATTACAAACATTAAACAACAGTCTAGTATTTTGTATGCAACATTGGTTAATATATGCTTAAATATTACACCTCTATCTATTTTTGTCTGAAAGGCAATTTCCCAGAAACACAATTTATCAAAATATGAACAAAATTTGAAACCTAAAAAAAGGACATTTGAGTAAATCAACCCAAAAATTTCTACTTCAAATAAAACATTTTGCTTTTCCCAAAATAATAGAACAAAATTTGTCTAATAATACGTCAATTTTTCATTCCAACTTGAAGCTGAGTTTTTTAAATTTGAAAAACTTGTTGAACCACATTTTCAAGTAAATAATTTCTTTTTCCTCACAAAACTTCAACAAATCTAGAGTAAAATGCACGTTTCAAACACAACTTTAATTTTCTAACACACTATTCAATTTAACTTCAAATACTACTCTCATTTTTCACATATCATCAAATTCATGTGCAAACACCTATGGAAAGAGGAGAGGGTGAAAGAAAAAAACTGAAGCTCATAAACACTTGAGAAATCAACCCCCCGCCCCCGCCCCCCCCCCCCCCCCCAAAAAAAAAAAAAAAAAAAAAAAAACTGTTTTGTCAATATTTCGAAAAATCAACCTACCAGGAATGCTGTACAAAATCTAGTTTTACATCACAGCTTTGAATTCTAGTGCACAAACATTAATACATGATTTTTTTCTCTGTCGAATTGACAACACATTTGAGTTTCAACTGAATCACTACGACGCTAACCATCTCTCTTCTTGGATTGCTCTGAAAGATACCTGCATCACATCCAAAATTTCAGGAGTTGAGCTACAAATCTAACTAAAACGGGAACACTCATGGACAACTTTGTCTAGTAAAATAAGTGGGCATCTTACTTATTTTCTTGTGTTCGATATGTAAGCAAAAACTATTACCCCAAAAAGTAAAAATAGTTGTATATAATCTAAACAAATACTATGAGAGGTTGGGGTGTAGGTAGGGGTGTGCGGATGGGGCTATGGGAATAGCGAGGAATATGAGTTGTGTTGGAGGGTGGGAATGACACAATCAATGTGGAATACCATTTGTGAAACTTGATTACCCTACTTCCATAAGGGAAGTTGTTTTCCTTATTTTTAAGGAACTTACTTTCCTAAAGAAAATATTTTCCAAAATTTTTGACCAACCGAACGAGGGAAAATTGGAAAACCTCTGTACCGAACACACCCTAAGAATAGGTTATCTTCTAATGAATATTAACCCAAATCCTGCTATGAGAGCACTTCAAATACTCACAACAGAAAAGATTCTAGTATTGCAAGACTTTAGAACCACACTCTTAACTGTCGTCTACCATTGACCTACATCTGAAATTCTTACACTAGTGCCTTTAAAGGTTCCATCAAGTGAAGACTTTATCTTTCTTTTGACAATGATGTTGTTCGGACGAGCTTGGGTGCACCTTGACTATTTCAGAGGTACCTGCTATCTCCTACCAACTAAGGTAGTACCAGATAACTCTACCCACTAAATCTTAAGCAGCCGATGAGAAGATATCACCAGCCATTTTTGTTCTCTATGGGACAGCAAGAGAACTTCATGCAGCTAACCTTTATAGAGAAATCACTAAACAGAAGAGGTGATATGGATCCTTTTTTAACTTCAACCAGAAAATTATGTTTACGAGCAAATATTTGCATGGTCTGATTCTGAAACAGCTTGCTTTCAATTTTTTTCAAATTTACCACATATGCAAGAGTTTGGTGTTAAGCAACAGTTTTCACAGAAAGGTACACTGGAGCATATCAGATCATCCATTGAAGAAACTTACTTTCCAGTGTAAAAGCCAGCAGAGTACCATGCATTCAGCACTTCCGCTAGATCCGTCTCCAAGCCGGCAGTTTTCTCTGCAGCAACAGGGTTCATCATCGCTATTTGTTTTCCTGAAATTAGAAAGAGTAAAAACAAAGTACTTAAAAGAATAGAAGGACATTTGAAAGATTGAAGTTCTTTCTCACATCATATTGGATCTTTTTGTTGTTCTCTGAATTTCTGTAGCACATTTGAGAACCTCATTGTATTATATGATGCTAGTGCTCCTAGCAGTAAGTCATCAACATGCATTCAGTGTAGCAGGACCTAGAATCAATGGACTTAGATTGCTCGCTTGCCCTGCTACCCAGAGATACTGAGATGTTGACTTCTACTGAAAGACAATGTTTCATTGCAAATTTCCTAAAGCAAATATCTTCATTTGTAGGGTGTTTTCGGTATGAAGTAAAGTGTTTTCCATGGAAAATATTTTCTTGAAAAATGTTCCCTAGGAAACTAAGTGGGTTTCCTACTTATTTTTCGTGTTCGGTAGGTAAGCAAATATTATCCTAAAAGCAATTGTATATAATTTAGACAAATACTATGATAGGTGAGAGTGGGGAGGACGGGGTGTGGGGGTAAAGATGAGATGTTTTGGAAGGTGGGAGACACAATCAATGTGGAATGTTACTATTGAAACTTGTTTTCCCTACTTTATTAGGCAAGTCATTTTCCTGATTTTAAGGAGCTTGTTTTTCTAGAGAACGTTTTCCAAAATATTTGACCAACCAAACATGGGAAATTGGAAAATCCTTTGTACCAAACACACATGTAATCCATAATCAATCAAGTCAATACTTGCTTCCTCCACCCCCCTCTTCTCCACCTCTGTCTTCTTCTTGTCCGTATTCATTTCACCTCATTATGTAATAGAAAATTGAAGGATCTTCCAGTTACTATCACATCACACCCTAGACATAAAAAGAAGCAGTCATGCACTCAAGCATCAAGAGAGCTGCTCACCTTCCTTTGCAAATGAATTCAGTGAAGCCGTGTTAGAAGCTTGCTTTAAAGAGGAGAGTGCTTTTTCTGCAGCTCCCATTGCTGTATCAACCAAATTAGGGTTTTGAGGAGATGATTTCTTTTCTTGAACACATCGCAAAGAAGCATCGCATGGTTTGTCATCCTGATTTACACCCAAACAACAAGGTGATGCAGTGCATGGAGACACCCAACTTTGGCATCCATATGGGCAGTAGAAAGAAGATTCTGTTGGATTTAAATTATGTGATGCATAAGCTTGATATTCTTGAGAAGCAGAACCAGAATTTTGATCACCCCAGATGCCAAACTGGTTAAGTTGCTGCAAAATCTTTTGCCTTTGATCCTCAAGTTCATAATATTTGTAGAGTAACTGGTTGTAATCTTCTAAACTCTGTGAACTGCTGTTCTCTATGGCCTTATCCTGGGTGTTTTGCTCACTCAGTTGACCAGTATGGTTTTCAGGAGTAACTGCCTCAAAAGAGGAATTTTCTTTTACTGGTGGAAGGCTGCTTGCATCCCCCATTTCTGTAGTGGTATCTGGTGCAGCTTTGCTGTTATCATCTCCCTCCCCTTTGCTTCATCCACACAGGTGAAAACAAAACAAAGAGGAATAAAGCAGAATGTCAGTCTCCAGACAGTTAATTGTTTTTTCCTGATGTAACTTGAAAAAGTTTATCACGAGAAGTACTCTCTCAGTCCCATTTTATGTAAAGGTGTTACGGTTTGGGGAGTAAAACAGTTTTTTCTTTGACTATTCTTAAAAATATTTTGAATCATTAGATGTTGACATTTGACTTGTAGTATGTCGTAAAGTTTTAAATACAACATTATACCCAGTGAAATCCCACAAGTGGGGGATAGTTTTCAAATATGTATAGTTTATTCATAGTCAAATTTAAGTGTTTTGACCTAAGTACTCCAAACTCCTTCACAATTGGGACAGAAGGAGTACCTCTGCATATTTACTACCCAGGCTGGCACATGTGAAGCAAACAAAAAGTAAACGAAGGGGATACAGGGAGGACGATAAAGTTTAATAATAAAGCAATAAACAGGGGAAGTTGTGGCATATAAACAACGTATTACAACGATAAATCATCAGAAAGATGATACCTGACCTATAAGTCTACCAACCAGAATACGTAAGAACTTTAATCAGCCCTACTAGAAAGGCAAAGTAAAAGTACTTAACATAGCTCTAAGTTGAAATCCTAGCAGAACAAATCAACTACTAGCAGACATCTCAAGATGCATCAATTTAAGAGAATTACGTAATAAAAGAGTTAGAAAACACCAAACTTTTCCAATTCTCAAGATATGTGCAAATCTTTTCAAGTAGTAGCATTTCCTATGTATTATTTTTTTAACACTAAAAAGCTCAAAGAAGAGATAAAACGAAATATCAGTTGATTCAAATCATGAATAGGCCTTTCAAGCTCATTTAATATCACTCATTTAGAGTCATAAATTGAATTCATTAAGAGTTAGAAAAGAACAAACTCTTCCATTTAATATCACTCATTCTGAGTCACAAATTGAATTCATTAAGAGCTAGAAATGTCTGAGTCTTTATAATAATTTTTAATCATTAAAATAGCTCGAAAGAAGAAATAAAAAGAAATATCACTCTAATTGAGTCATAAATGGACCTTTTAAGCTCATTGCTTCCGTCGTCAGGAGCTGTCACATTCTCCTCTTTGCTGCTCACTTTAGCTCCTTTACTATGCATAATCTGGAAATTGGAAAGAAGAACATCAAGAGAAACATATAAAATTTTCTTAGAAAGGGAAAAGGAGTAAGAAATGATAACAATCAGTAAACAAGTATTGTGTTTGATTCTAGGCTCTGTGCAATAGCAGCTGTGACTTAAATTTGACTCTCTTTTTGGAAGGGGTCGGGATGAAGACTGCTTTGAAGGGTTTGAGAGAAAAGCAGGCTGTATGGAAGCTAGGGAAGTTAAGAGGAGTCAAAAGATCATGGCCAATGCAGAGAAGTAGTGGAATCAAAATGATGTCAAGGATGATGATCGTGAAGAAGAAGGAACAGCAAATGGGGAGAAAGGAGAGCCAAAATACTTTATTCAACTGTGGCAGCCAGAATCCCGGAGATAAAACAAACTAAATTCAAGTTCAACAAGATTTTAAGCAAGAATGACAGAAAAGAAATTAGTAGACCCAACTTCACATACGAAAATAGCCTGCATAATGGAAGATGCACCCAGGAAAGTTCTACTTGCGCTCAGATAAAGACAAAAGCATCTCTCATAACATCCTCAAACGCAGGACATAGTAAATAAAATGAACTACATCCTTGACAGTTTACCTAAAAATTACTTTAAAAGAACTTTATCACTAAGTATTGCTCTCTGGTACATACATTGTAGGAAATGCTTTCTTCCCTTTCGTAACAGAAAGCAGCAACTTATTCTCTCTGTAGCCCTCCTTTCCCTTATTCCAGCACCACACAATTCTCTAGTGCTCCTCCTACAACACAATATAACGGAACCACATCGCTTCTGTTCTTTTCTACCCTGTCATCTCAGAAACATTGGCAGCAAAAAACACCATAAATCATCCCCTTGACATACTAGAACCCAAAGTCAAATAAATGAAAGGCACAATTAAAGTAGAAAAGATGGGTCCTCATGTAAATATCATTTTCTCGTGTCCAACTTAATGCTTCCAATCGCTTCACAATATCCAACTGCCTAGAGCTTTACTCAAGACTAAAGGCCAATAGCAAAAGTTGTCAAGTGAAAAAATATTAAACCTAATAGAGATCAACTACGCTGCTATTCTACCTAAGCCTTGATTGGGAGTTACACGACACCTGTGCTAGTCGGAGACTCAGAGTTATGAGGTACTTCGTTGAATAGTGGAGTGCGTACAAGATGACCGGAAAACAACTGTAATCAAGACCAAATTGCACTCTTACATAAGTAAACCTCCATCGGTATCGCATACCATGTTCCTTTTATCTCACTATACAATGGGATCAACACTCTAGCCTAACGAATTTCGTGCTGGACCTGCTGGTAGTCCATGCTAACAAGGAAAAACAAAAAATGGGGTTTCTTAAATGTTCTTCCTGAATATCTTAAATTGAAGCCAAAAAGTGTTAAAAGCAAAAAGTCCCACATTGGTGGTTAATGAGATGAGTGGACTCTTTATAAGGCTTGGACAATCCTCCTTCCTTTGATCTAGTTTTTTGGATGTGAGTAAGGCCTAAGACCTAAGTTAACAGAAAGTATCACAAGTGCATATGTAATATTAAAACAACAGCTACCCTCAACTCCAACACTGTTCAGTTACATAAATCCTCTATTAATCCCATTCCACTCCATTTGAATTTCATTTTTTACCCTAAATTATACTAATCAAGTCCAAAAATTATCGCCAAGTGGAGAAGGAATATGAATGATTAGATTACTAATACATCTAGAAAGAGAAACGATTTTAAGTTCAGCAGAGCTGCGTTGAAAGCAAAAATTGAAAATACAGCTGACATACATTTTAAGACGTTGAAAGATGACTAGTAAGAGCAATGGAAGTATGAGCTTTCGTAGAATGTAGAGTGAAGGGAGAACCTTGTACTTGGATACGGCATCGTTGAACGCATTAACGAGGGCTGAATCGTCCCACAAATCGTTTTCCCCCATTTTCGCTTTCTACTCTGCTGAGTTGCAAGAGAATTGCAGCAGGGTTTAAGCTGCGTTTTGCAGGGTTTAAATTTGATGGGTTTTTTGGATTAGCTACTAAAATTAATTTATCTTTTTTTTTCATTTCACTATCTATTACAGTACGATTGCTTATATTTGTTTGCACTAGAAACAAGTGTCTTCGCTAGTACATATCTATCTAATATATGTAGCAATTTTTTTGGTTTAATTTATTTAATATTAATAAAATTTGGAGAGACAATCAAATTTAATATAATTTTTAGATATTTTAAATTATTAATAATTGTATTTATAATATTTTATGTAATTTTTAAATAATATATATTATTTTCTATGTCATAATCTATATGACACTAATATAATTTTAAAATCAACCAACTATTTTACATTTTACATATGATATAAATTATTTTATAATAAAGGATTTTACCTGATGTGTTTAATGAATCTAATTATATGTAAGAAAATTCAAATTAATTTTCAAAAATTGATTGAAATTCTGGCCTGCCAAAAATAACAAAATCGAGCATTAGAATATAAACTTTTTGAATCCTAAACACCAAAAGGAACCCTCTCTAAAATTACACATCAAAACATACGGTTCGCTCGTTTATGAGCAAACTATAACTACCATCTCTTAATTCCCATCGTCCTTGTTAACTCCAATTCATCCAAATAATATTACACCAACTTTAAAGGTAGTTCGTCCACATAGTTCTTTTTATTTCTTCCTCACATGAATTTATATCCCTTTCTTCCTCACGTGAACTATATTTTTTTCTTCAACAATAAATATGGATTATTCATTCCACATTTTTCTCTTTCATCTTCTACTTTTTTATACATTATATTTTGATTTTTAAATTTTGATTGCCATGTCTTAACAATCCAGAAAGTCTGTATATTCAATTGAACCAGATGTTTGTAAATGCACAGAATATTGTAAAATAAAAAACAACAAGAACTCCACAAATTCTTGATCATAAATTTTAAAATTGTGGGTATTTAAAAATTTTAAAAATTAAGCTATTCACTTCAGAAAAATAATGAATCCGATTATTTTTTATGAACATAAAATTATCATTCTATAGAAGTGGTGGTGCCCTTGGACGACCAAGGGTGCTCCTGTAATTTTCCTTCTCACCTGACCTATTCACACACTCCACCTGTTTTTCCCTTGGGTTTGTTTCCACGTGGGTCAAACTTAAGAATGCCCTTCCACGACCAAGGGTATATCAGACATTTCCTTCCTAAAAAGAGATCTTATCCTGCTGACCCTTTTCTGCTCCTGTGATTGTTTGTCGCGTGTCTCAGCGGCCACGTGAACCGATCGATGCGTTTCCCAATTCACACTACAGTTTTTCCTATATGGTCTTCACGGATAAATTTACTTCCTCCATGGTTCCTTCTTCGAAGACGAAGAGCTCCGTTGGAAGCTGAAGACTTCCTCTCCGTACAAGGGTACTCCGTTGGAAGCCCATGTTTGTCTTGCTTTTGTTGGACGACCAAGGGTACTCCCGTAATTTTCCTTCTGAGCTGACCTATTAACACAGTCCACCTGCTTGTCCATTGGGTTTTCACGTGGGTCAAACTTAAGAACTAACCCAGCTAACTCACGCATGCCCCTTTCCCTGAAGTTGTACCTTCAATCTTTTCCACATATTTGGATCTTTTGACTACATTCTCATTTTTTTCTTCCGAGTTCTTTCAAGAATTCTCGGTTACTTTTTTTTAATTAATATTCATGTCAATAATTCTATCTCATCTACACATGCAAAGTTGTTACATGTAACTGTATATTATTGTGATTATTGATTGTAGATGTTTTTCCTACTTTTGGAACTAATTAATTACTAACAATCTAATTATCTGTGCAGAATTCTGTAATATTAAACTTTACGATTTAAGATTCGATCTTTAGTGCTTAATTTTGTCTTCTGATATCGATAGTAAGCTATTTTGTAAACATAACTTTATGGTGGTGTTGCATTTCATAGTCTCTCACATTTTTTGTTCAGATGGTTCTTCTCTCTGTCTTTCTTTTTAATAAAAACTTTTCTCTGTTTTTTCATTCCTTGCTATGAGAGGTTTAGGCTATGAAGATGGATGAACCAAAGGTGTTCGATGATATGTCCGAAATAACTTAACTATTTGATAAGAATCTCTACAATTTCTCTTTTGCTATTAGTGAGTAAATTAGGACTGTCTTCAATGATGTAAAGTTAGGAGTTCATTCAATTTTATTTACTATTGAATTTCACAGGTTCCTCAAAGTCAAATTTGCTCAACGTGAAGAAAGCGGAAAAATACATCACTGTTACAAGTAAGTTTTGGACTTTTTTAGTCTATTATTTGATAATGTATAATATTGATAGTTGTTTGTTGTGCCTCCCCTGCAGTATTACCTGTCTATCTAATGTGATTTTTGGCACTCTCTTGTGACATGGACGTTATCGAACATTTTTAATATCCTTCATTGGCTTTAAGTATCAAGTTTGGTAGCTTTTCTAAAAAATATATGTATATGTCCTTTGAATTCTTTTCTTACTTCTATCTATCTATGTTCATTAAATTATTTTCTTATTTCTAAAATTTTTCGTGTTTCAGAAAGCAAGCGCAACTTGAACCAATATTTTCTATCTCTACCGTGTTTCATGGACAGAAAAAAGGGAATGTTTATGGGGATTTCACATTTTCGACTTCAAAGTTACCCATGGGAATTGGTAATTTGATCAAACTTAGATATTATGAGTAATATTTAATCCTTTGTTGGTTTACGTGGTTTTAGGTTCTAATATAATCAAGTTATTTAGAAAAAGAAGACAATATGAGGACCTTAGATAGCTGCAAATTCTATCGTCGGAGATGTTTCTTGTGTACATGATAAATGTCATACAAAAGAGTAACCAATTTTAGCAATTAAAGATGAAATGAAGGATAAATCGTGCTTCATCTTACTACTTCTCTCTGGTTATGTACACATGTACATCCAATAAATCATGTTAAAATTCTGCAACTTTCCTTTGTAAGAAGATTTCAGTAGCTCGTTAGTTTTCAAATATAGCTTAGACTTTGGATTGGAGAGTTGATCTCTTAAGTGGACATCTTAACACATTTATGTGATAGTATATTCGCATAGCTGATTTTTACTTTCTTTATAGCTCAAGTTTTAATTGTAAATAACTTTGTTTCTTCCATATTTATGTTCTCTCAACTTACAAACTGGACGTGCAAGTATAATGTTGATTATGAGACTTCCATCGTCCACTAATAGCTGCACAAATGGAGAAAGAAACAAAGAATCAGGAAGGTCTGGTAACTTCACATCTAACTTCAAAATCTCTCTAAACCATATTTTTAACACTATCACAGTAGGAAGGCTCAAACAAGATATAGAGCACACACTTGAATAAAAAATATTGGCACACGAAAGCCCTCAACGATGGCAACAACATATAGCAAAGCTTGTGTAGCAACCTAGCTAATGGGGGATATAAGCCCTATAGAACTAGAAAGAATGTTTCGAGGATGCCAACACCCAAATTTTAATCCAGAAGTTGTATGTCTTTTTCCATAATTGAGATACTTACAACCTTTCTATACAATTAAGCACCGTGAAAACTATTATTTCTGGAGGACACACATTTACTAGAATATCATTCTTCTTTGCATTCTTCAGTTGGAGCAGTTCAACACCAAAATTATGCATTGTAAGCTCCTGCCTTAGTTTATGCATTGTAAGCTTTGTAATCCTTACCATTTGGTTACGTTGTTCACTATGATCATCGTTATCTCCCCTTAATATAGAAACTCTATATTCTAGGAAAGTAAACTTCAGGGGACTGGTTGTATACTCTTGGACCTCTTATTTCCTATGATTGGTCTATCATTTGTATCCATATGACTGCTTTAAGAATATTTTGTATTTTTATTATTCCATCTAATTTCCTAATTTCATTCATGTAAGGATACTTCCTTTCATACAATGAATCACTATTAGAAACATGTAATGAATAGTAAACCTTACACTGTTGGCTGAAGCATAACATGTGTGGTTCAATTTTTTCAAATATTTGTTTTCAATTCATTTGTCGATGTTTTGTGTATACTGCTAAGAATGTGTGGGAAGTCGTTAGGGAGACAAACTCTGATGTAGAAAATGTCTCTCAAATTTTCCAATTATCTCTTCACATTTCATGTTTTTTTTTTCTAAATTTCCAAGATTTACAGCATTATAGTGCTAGGGGACTTGTGTTAGTTTTGAGATATCTCATTTTCTATTTTCGATGAGTATTTAGTGACTTCTCTCTGCGTAATTGCTAATGAATATCTCAATAAATTGCTACATTAATGTTTACAAATTGACTAGATTCTTCTAGTGTTTCTCCCACAAATAATCCCCTCAACATCTCTCTGAAAAAATTGCACCTGGAGGCATACTGCAAAGTCAAGTTGGTGGAAGCCGGCAAAGATGCATTCCGATGTCGAATCAAACAAATACAGTAAGAAATACACCCCTTCCTTCTCCATAACTTTGTATGATTTTAGATGAACAAGCCTTTTCATCCCACTTCTTTTTTGCTATTTCTTGATTTTTGTTGATTTATTCCTTTAATTTATAATTTTTTTAAGCCATAAAAAATCTCAACCTGGAAGAACTACTTTGTTAAGCCTTGGAGATTCCAGAATTCAGAAGCTACCAGATTCAACTACCAGTCCAATGCAACATATATTAAACTACCTATAATGTCTATGTCTTGACCGTCATAGAAAGCTATAAGCCTCTACAATATGAATGTAATACACTATGAAACGTGATATATGCATATTTAATTTGATCATGTTGCATAAGCTACTAAGAGTTACTATAAGTTTGTACACGCATATGCATATTTATCCCTCTGTGAGATAATTGTATTAGAGTTAATATTTCATGAATTGCTCATTGGTGAAGCTTTCAATATATTACGTGGCAATTTTAGTTTCCTGTTGATGAATAACCTGACTAGAGATAAGTTGCAGGGAAATGACTCAAGGATTT